TCAATGATGGTCATTAAGAGTTAAGAAAAAAGTAAGGTAGACAGAAACAAAAGACGGCAAAAGAAAACAAGCAGCACCTACCACTCCCCCCCTCCTCCACCCACACACACCACAGACAAAAATTTTAGAGAAAGAAAAAAAAAGTAAAGTAAAACTTATCAGTGGCACCCTCCAACCACCCCATAATTGTACTTCAGTGATCAGACAACACATCAATCAATGTAAAAAAAAAGTCATTTTAATTCTGTACATCAACAACGTCAAATTGACGGTGGTATTTTCCAATCGTGTAACTGAAAAATCTTCCCACAATACAAGAACAGATCATTGTAATAACTCACATAGCTGCCAACTTTACAAAACCCAAACTCAGATTCTCCCCACTCGGTGGGTCAAGATGGTGGGCACTGGCCAAGTAAGACCCCCTCCAAACCCTTCATACACTTTTCTACATTTAAAAAATTCAAGCTTTTCAAAGTAGACCTGCAGAAAAATATTTCACCAATTGACTTAGGGCAGGGCTTTGTTCACAAATCCTGCCTTGAAAGTTCATAATTGCTCTTCAGCATCAGCAAGTTTTGGAGGACCATTAAGCCTACCTCCAGAGAACAGAAATATGTATATTTTCCAAACGAAAACGGACTTTTGTACCCTAAAAAATGTATTATTATTAAATACATTTTTTAATGTAGTCTACTGGTTAGTTTCTATCTAGGAACTTATTTAGCAATAAATTGAAACTTCCTGAAATTAATTTTGAGCAGGGAAATTTTTTTCAAGAAACCAGCTACACGATAGGAACAAAACATCATGGAAATATCTGCAGAGAAACAAATGGAGCACAGGTCACGAGGTCGCGGCTGAAGTGGACGGTCGGTCCTGGTCCTGAGCCTCTGCCTCGGCCTGGACTTGTTGCCACTGGTGGAGCCAGGCCGTGGGCTCCGTGTCGTAGATCTGGGGGGAGGCACAGTTGTGGGGTTTTGGTAAGAGTTTTTAGGCACTTGCAACACAAAACAGGTCACAATATAAGAGGAAAAAATTAGAAGTGTTTACTGGAGAATATAAGGGAAATAAGGAGGAGAGATATTTGTTGCTTCAGACCTATTTTGTCCAAAGTGCCTCTTTACTCTGTCCCCATGGTTTTATGCACCCCGCATAATTTAGCAAAATTTGATCATTTTTTTCATAATTTTTGATTATTTTCCTTTATCATTCTTGGTTAAAATTAACAGAATCGCATAATGTCAGAATTTTTTGGGCATAAAACAGCTGGGGCAGTTTACTTAAGTACACTTTGGACAAAATAGTTCTGAGGCGATGATATATACATGGGTGATATCGGCTTGATAGGAAAGAAGGTGCAAACCACACCAGAGCACCTGCTAACTACCCACTCAAAAAGATCCGTCAAAGCCCCACGTACAGATAATAAGAAATGGATATTTAGAAAAAGGGGGGCTGTCTTAGACAATTTCGACTGTGTTCAGCGAGAGAATCACATTTACCTGGCTGACAAAGTTAAGCGCATCTCGCTTGGAGAACTCATGCTTTGCCCTCTGACCCCAGGCGATGTCCTTGACCTGCGGGTCGGTGTTGGGCTGCGGCACCAACTCCAGGTAGCCCTGTCGCACAAATTCCTCCATTATCACGCTCTTCACATTCCCAAACGTTCCGTGCTTCTCGCTGAGACAAACGGAGAAAGGAGAAATAATCAATTTGACATACGGTAAATCTAAGAGAAAAGGGGATCAAGGAAATACAGTAAAGAAATTGACATAACATTGCCTCCGACTCGGAACTATTTTGTCCACAGTGCCTCTTTAGTTTTAAGTACACTTTGGTCAAAATAATTCTGAGGCGACGTTAAATATAAGTATAGTATAAGAGTGCGAGAAAAGGAGATAAAGGAAATACAGTTTACAACTCGACATAAGTCTTAGAAGAGGAGAAAAGAGAAAAATATGGTAAAAAAATTATACTTAAATCTGAGAGAAAATGAAATAGAGTAAAAAATTCAACTTAAATCTGAGAAAAGAAGAAAAGGGAAATATATGGTAAAGAATCTGACATACGTATACAAGACTACACGGTTTTTGTTTGTTCTTGTAATGTTTTACGACGCTCTCAACCGCATAAGGTCATATGAGCGCCAAGGGATGGATGTCAACAGAGAACTCCAAACGGGGGATCAGGCTTACTCTGCTCACCTCTCTAGCCTCAACAGAACAAAATCTGCTTCGACTATCAAGTTACTATCCCCCCTTTGGGAATGGTTTGAAGACAACTTCAGTCAGTAGCACTGCCCTGGTGGGGAGGTGCTACATAGTTTGTAAAAATATAAAGACTACAGGGAGAAAATGCAAAGTCACATTTTGGCTTTAGGGAAATCTAAGTTTTATTTTAAAGTTAGGAACCTCAACACTTACTCAGATCGTATTCCGATTTTCTTGAGTGCATGCCACAAGTCCTCTGTAGACACAAAATTTACATAGATCGATACATGAGCAGACGTGTTTAACATGAAGCTGTTCATAAATAAAGGAAATTCCTGCAAACATGAAAGGATCAGATTCCCCGACACTTCCCCACAATTTATGGCATTTTTATCAATTTGAGTAAGGAAAATAAAAACAAAAAAACATCCAGATATTCAATAAATGTAAACTGATTTAATTAACTCCTGCCCCCCCCACCCCACGGACACAATTTGCAATTTGGATTATTTAACATTTGAGAGGCGGGTTGTTTTGACCCTACCTGTCACAGCATAGGTACAACACCACAGCAGACATAAATATATTATATTATAATAATAACTACACTCACATAGTGATATATTACCTATATCCATGCTCCACAGCATGCTCTTGCACTTTACAACTATTATTGCCCCAGCAGACCTGACCTGAGAACACTCAGAAACACTCTCGGCTTCATGGGAAGCATACATAACGAGCAACTGAATAAACGCTCAAACTCAAACAATAACAAAGTGACGAACAAAAAAAAAAAAAAAAAAAAAAAATCCCCCCGAGCTTCACCTTCAGTGATGATGTTCCCGTTCATGAAGATGGTGCTGAGGATCATGGCCAACAGTGCCATCTTTGCCTCGTCCTCCGGGGACCTGGGTCAGAGGGTCATGGACAAATTGAAAGACAACAGAATTGTAAAGGATTGTAATTTGTAATAATATAAATAAAGATAATAACAAAAATAATAATGTAGATCATTTTTATAGCACTTACTTTCGTGTGCCCACACAACTCTAGGAGCTTTAAAGAAATCCAAGTACAAATTCATAAATGAACAATAACTGAAAAAATGATTTGCTCATACTCATATGCACACACAGAAGAATTGACATACACACACACTCTCACTTATTCACACACACCTTCTCTCTCATCACTATGCACGCAACAAAATTATGAGTGAGAACATACAAAAAAATAGTGTAATATGCGATCCCTAGGTTGATTAAAATATACAACATACAATAGATAGGCCCAACATAGTCATTTAAATTAATACTGCTCTGAAAATGAAGCTACTGAGTTAGGAATAATTTAATTAAATATGTTTTTAACTGAGACTCAGATGTTGTAAATGAAGATCACAGTAGTTACAGGGGACAATACAACAGTCCTATTTTTAACTACAGTACGGTACAGACGCATTTTTTAAAAACTTCAAGTTATACTGTA